CCCCTCGCCCCTTCCCCAGTAAGTGTATGAAGGGAGCACCGGGGGGCGTTACCCCCAGCCCGCTGTCTCCTTCTGCGCCTCTGGGGGCTGGCTGAAAAAGCTCTGTGCTGAGAATTCTCTCGACTCTGGAGGCTGGCTGAAAACGCCCTGTGCCAAAATCCAAGCAGGATTTTCAGTCATGAAGGATTTTCAGCTTCAGAGTGGAGAGGCTTCAGAAGCCTCCCGACTCTGGGTCTGAAAATCCAAGCGGTTCTGAGGCCCTTGCACACCGACCCACACTGCACCCCTGTGCACCCTCCCACGTACCTTCTTGTTCCCTCCCCCACCTGGCAACTCCTGGGGCTTGCACATTCCTGCCAGCTTCCCCACTGACTTGATTGTGGGAAGCCAGCAGGAAGTTGCCTCGCTTAATGACTCACGATTCTTGCTTAATGATGATAGCCAGGAGTGCCAGGATTGCATTCACTAAGCGAAGCGGCCACATGACATCTCACTTAATGAACGCATTGCTTAGCGACCTAAATTCCAGTCCCAATTGTGTTGTTAAGTGAGGACTACCTATATAGTAAATGAAACTTATGCATGCATTTGTGTGTTTGTGTATTGCACAGTCCCTCAGTAGTTGCAATAAGCCTCTTTTTTCTTCTTTTAGAAGAGTCAGAGGATTTTTCTTTAGCCAGGGCTTTTAAGATAGAATCATTTAACTGTTTTTAACAGATTTAAAATTTTTATATTTCATTGTTTTTAAAATGATCTGTCTTGAGTATCCCTCAGATAAAAGACAGAATATAAATTAAAGAGATAAATAATCAGAACCTAATATTTCAAGATTCTTTGCATAAATTTCTAACTACCCCTTTTTTCTTGAAGGCACCATTGTACCCACAGGCTCCTTTTACTGAAGGATTTGTCTACAACCTTATATGTTGCCTTTTTCACTCTGTACTATCAGGTACAAATAGTTGTTCAGGCTTAGTGAGATGGACTTGGGTAAAGCTAGCTTCAGTGATAGAAGTTTTGTCCTTCAGAGACTGAGATTTTACATATCAGTCTCCACAAAGTAAAAAAAAAAAAAAAGTGATCCAATCTAGTACCTAAGAATACAAAAAAGTGATCCAATCTAGTACCTAAGAATACAAAGTGGTCTGTCACTGACATTATTTACAGAATTTATAGTAACTCTATGTGTGTGCCGATTTCCTTCTGAACACTGCTGGCATTCATTCTGCAGAAACTTTTAGCAAGGGTTTTGCTCCCAAAAGGCCTGGCCTTGCAGCCTAGAAGCCCTGTATTATTCAGCTGGTTGTTTGTCCACCTAGTCAATTCAGGAGCATGAGCCATAACCCCTAGAGGTGGAAAGGATCAGTTCTGTGTACCAAGATTCCTAGGTTAGAGAAATAATGTGACTCAACTTTAGGCTAGTCATGGCTTCCAAATCCTCTGTGAACTCATTCATTTGAGCGTCTTCGGGAACAAGCTTTCTCAGCACAGCCTAGAACAACAAGCTTACAGAGAGAAATATCATTGCTTGGCCTCCATTGGGTTCACTGGTGGGGTAATTTATCAGGATCCATTCCTCAAATTCCTTTCCTGTCCCTCTTTCTTTCAGCTTCCCATTTGTTTGTCTACGTGAATTCTCTTCTTACCTTACTTTGTGAGACCTTTGCTAATTTTTGCAGGAAACAAAAAAAAATAGTTCTTCTACAGGGTTTCTCCTACTATTGCTATTTTCCTTGCTTTTCACAACACTTCTGGCAAGTAAGCAAAGGTCTCACAAAGTAGATGAGAAGGAAAAAGCACAGTGACTCATTTGGGCAAGTTGCTGAGAAAAACCAACCTTTTCCTCTGCCTGAGACATTCATGCTTCTCAACTTCTTGATGCTTGTAAGCTGCTGCAAGAAGCAAGGAAAGCTCCATCCAGTACTGTATTTGATTACTTTCCTTGTTCCTCAGCACTTTTTGCAAAGTAGCAAAGAGAAAAGGGATCAACAGTGACCAGAACAAGCAGCAGTTTTTCTCCGGCCATCTGAAGATCGCTATCCGCAGCCCTTTTTTTATCAGTCCTCAGCTAACACTGAACTTTCATTACTCTATTTTACTCTTGCTATTTTGTAAGTAGGTGCTAGAGAACCAGTTTGGGATAGTGGTTAAAGGGATCAGGCTCTTCCCTCCTCAGTTTTTCACATTGGTTTCCTTGTTCCTTGTCACTTCTTGCAAAGCAATAATAGTCTGACAAGGGAAGAGACAATGGATTACCCAAACAACAGCATCTTCCCTCCTCTACGTTTCTATCACTTCCTAGGTTTTTTCCCTTATACTTAGTTTGCCCTTCCAAACCTCATTCCCTTTTTGGCTTAGCTGCCCACCCATAGTTTACTTTTCTTCCTTTGCCACGTATCACTGCCCTGTACTCACCTCTCCTTTGCAATCATTGGTGAGTGAAAGTGCACCTGCCTCAACTTGCATGCCCTGTATTTGTTTATATTTATTCCAGCTTTCTGTTTACTGGTTTATTAAATGGGAAGCTTTGCTGTCTAGAATCTTCCTTGCAGTATAAACCCATCTGAGAAATGGAAATGTTTGGCAGCTTACATACCTGCTATGGCCCTTGTCTTGAGGGCATAATTCAGTTTGTGTGTTTGTTTGTTTGTTTGTTTGTTTGTTTGTTTGTTATTACAATGCTGGTATGTCACCCATTTCTGCAGGCTCTGGGCAGATTTTTTTCATTTGAGAAAGGAAATACGTTATTACTATTACTGCTGTCAGAAAAAGACTTAAATGTTTATGGATGGGAAATAATGTATTTAACAATCAGTAATATACCTATGTCTCCCCATGTCATTAATGACTAAACTCCCCATAGTAACCATTTCAAGACTGTGCCCAGACTCTTCCTTGAGATTTCAAATATGCCTTGATTCTAAAAATAGTTGCTTCTCCCAATTGTGTATATATGTGTGTGCATATACTGTATATGCAGACAACACTTCTGTTGGGACTGCTGTGCATGTACAGACATGCAAAGAAGTGAAAAAAGACTTTGAAGCAATTGTGCCGAGCTTTCAAAAAGATGCAGTTGCATTAATATTTCAGGAAGGAATTTTCAACACTTACTAATACACTTTGTAAAACACCTCTCTTATATGCTTTGCACAGCCCTAGAATCTGTATCTCATGTATGTATACTATCCAGCCATACATACTATCTCCTTGGAAGGGACAGGTGGAACATAATTGCAGCAAATGTATGATTGTTGCTCATATGGGACATTTTGACTTAAAATGCATTAATTAGAATGTGCAGTGAGTAAAATCCAAACTAATGACCATTACTTCATCTGTTCAGATAATAATATAATACTATAATCAAATCCCTTCCAGACTTTTTACTTCAGAATTCATGACTTTATTTGTTATTGAACTTTATTCATATATCTCCTGTTTTGCTTTACAGGTATTGGAAGAAATTTCATGTTACCCAGAAAATAGTGATGCAAAAGAACTTAAACGTATTTTAACTCAACCTCATTTCATGGTAACTAGTTGTTACAATATCATTTTTTTAATACCTCATAGAAATTTAATATCATTTAATATCCCATAGAAAGTTCATATATTTAAATTATTTCTATCCTAATGTTCAACGCTGAACAGAAGGACACTAATATCTTTGTCTTGGATATCTCCCACTAATTTCAGTGGAAGATGGGTAGAAGTAGAGATATATTAATTATGAGTAGAAAAATGCATTGTAAATATTATGGATTTTTTAAATTATTTAAAATATTTATATACCATCTTTCAATTGCTTATGCAAATAAAACAATGTGTTAATCAAATATGACAATGTGTTAAAACAAAAGTAATTTTATAAACTTTGAAAAATAAGAAAAAAAATAATGTTTAGATCCAAAAAGAGAGCAATATTGACATTACCCATGCCCCTCTTTTACTATAATTCCATAGATGTTTTAGATGGCTCATCTGTCATCCAATTTTGAATTCTAAATTCTTTTGGAAATAAAATGTAGGTTAAGAATATCGTAGGGATAGATTATCCTTTAATGATCTCAGTCTTTGGACTATATAGGTTTTAGTATTTCATTATATAGCAATGCCAGTTCTTATTTAATTATCTTATCCCATAGTTCTTAGTCGATCCTTTCAGGGTAGCCTACTCTTACTCATAGTCATATCTGTTCGTTCTTCAATGAACTCACCTTGTCATACTTGATTCTTTGACTATTATTGATTCTGGTCTGAGAGTTTTATTCTATTTTATCAATATGCTAAACTTTAATTTCAGAAAAACAAAGCTTACCTAGTCTTCCTTCAGAGGGAGTAAAACATTTGAAGATTTGTTTTTTCTACTGAATCTGTATCAGTACAAACAGATTAAAATACCAATTTGTTTATCCTAATTTTACCAAACGAACTGTTTGTCAGAAGCACTGTGAGGACAGGAAAGGAATCCATTTGGAAGAAAGGGTCTCTTGCATATTTCTTGATACCTTTTTACACAAGATGAAACTCAGTAAGATAAAGGACTTTCACCTTCAGAGTCAGCAAATTTTTGTCCAAGGACATTGTTCCTTTTTTTGTACCTTTTAGTACCCAGTACCAATAGAATGGGACTAGATGAGTAGTAGTATCTGGATATGCCTGTCACATATATAGGTGAGATATTTGTATGTTGTCATCACCATTAGGAAAGTTGAGAGTGATATGGCACAAGCTGTTTGAGTTGAAGGAAGGTTAAATAGCTTAAGGTTTAAACTTCTTTGCATAAAATAAAGCACAAGAGATAATGGAATATGAAAATTATATATTTTTGTAGGCCTTACTCCAAACTCACGATGTAGTGGCACATGAAGTTTACAGTGATGAAGCATTAAGAGTTACTCCACCTCCCACCTCTCCGTATTTAAATGGAGATTCTCCAGAAAGCATCAATGGAGACATGGACATGGAGAATGTAACAAGAGTGCGATTAGTTCAGTTCCAAAAAAACACAGATGAACCAATGGTAAATATTTTGTTATCTGGTTTTATAAATATGGGTAAGATATCCAGTCATATGTCAAATTTACCATTTATCTTTTGTAATAATGACAATTTATCTTAGGCAAATGAAAGGAACATTAAGTTAAAAAGCGTTAGAAGTAAAATCTTAATTCCCAGAAAGCCTGTACCAGAAAGGCTTTTAATATAAATAAATATAGGTTATCTCAGAAAAGGTTGATTAGTTAGTTTGAAATAATATATAAACTGTGTGACTGTAATCTTCATCCTGAAATATGCAGGCTTCCTTTTCAGTATCCTGTAGTTTAGATCCAGATAGCTCCCTCTCCTAAATAGTGCTGCTTCCATCAAGAGAATGAGAATTTTTCTCTCCTGCACATTCTCAAAAGATCTGTGCTCTAATTCATAGGGAACTTGCTGTTTGAATAACCTCTCTGGAGGCACCTGTGGCTTTTTAAAAAATTTCAGTACCACAGTTCACAATGTTATTAGTCAAAGAGCAAAGAGTTAATAAATAATTTCTTTGGAGTTATGATAAAAAGAAATATGCATATGATTTCTGGGCAGTACTTTTTTTAGTTGAAAGTGCTAAAGCAAAATGTTAGTAGGAACAGTGGTGGTAACTTGAGACAGGCTAGAACTGATTCTACTTCCATGCTATGGCTGCAATCCATGGTCAAATGTTAAAATGCCTAAACTGGATCAATAGCTGAAAAATCTTATTGTTATTGTCTAAATTACTTTATTTCTTTTATTAGGGAATCACTTTAAAAATGAATGAACTGAACCATTGCATTGTAGCAAGAATTATGCATGGAGGGATGATTCATAGACAAGGTAACGTAAACATAAAAGTTAATGATAACACACATTTTATACGATACTATCCAAATTTCCAGACATGGAAACTAAAAGGCAACTGAATATTTAGTGCCAAGAATCATACAGTGCCTATAATACAATATTTTGCTTCACTGAGCCTTGTTATTGCACAAGCCACGTATAAATGGTTCAACAAGCAAACAAAAGCAAATAATGTTTTGCTAAGATGGACAGATTCTCAATGTCATCTAAAGTATATAGATTGCCGGTTACCAGGCTTAAAGGGTGCAAGCAGTTAATATTCTAGAACGTTTGTAGGTTTATTACAATGGTAGACTATTGGGAACCTTGCATCCTCAAAGCCAATGTTTTCTTAACTCCAGAGTAGTGACCAAGGCTGAATGAAGATATGAACAATGAGTAGACCTACTGAAAAAAGTAAAGTGTTATGTGACAGTATTTTGCCTTAAAATATCCCTTTTGTGTTTGGTTTACAAAACGTTGGGATCATTTCTGGTATGTATCTTAGTTGAGGTCTCTTCCATTGTTGAACAACTTTTCCATTAAGTATTGTTTTCGAATGTTCAACTGAAAGCTAATTCCTTGTAATTTAAACTCATTTGCATTTTGACCTATCTTCTGGAACAACTTAGAACACTTCTGCTCCAGTATTTGATGGGGCAACTTTAAAAAGACAGAACCCTAGGGAGGAAATAATCCTATCCACTATGGGAGTGGATTTGTTAAGTCCCACTTTTCAGTTAGTGGTTTGATTATTACCAATTTTGCAGAAAAGAAAGAACCCAGGAAATATTTGAGAATCAGCTTTTATACTTTTGGAATATCCTCAGCTAAATTCAGATATGCTTTTTGAGGAATATGTAAGTATATTACTGGAGGTGATCAAGAGATTACTGGTGCATCAATTTCTGCAGTGATTGAAAAGAATCCAGTGGCCATCTGAATTAAGAATTATTTGCAGCCTTAACATTGACAAATAGAACTTCTTGTTGTTGTTGTATGTACATGTTTATTTACAGATTAAATATGATCCTACTGGGAGAACATGCTGTTTCTTTTGCAATATTTCCACTCTGCAGTAGTTAGGGAGACATTTGCTCAGCTCATTTGTAACTAACCTTGCAGGAAAATCTTTGTATAAAGAATTGGAAGATTTGTTGAATTAATATAAAAAATAAATTATTTGCATATACGTGTGTAACAGCAGAGTCCTGTTGTTACACCGCAATAGCAAAATATAAAGGTCTTCAAAATCACAATTAAAAATAAGAACAAATTTCTTCACTTTATACCATAGGCTATGTTATTGCATATTGAATCTGTGAACTGTTTTCATAAGGATAATATATATTCCTTTTTCCACTATCCTACATAGTTAACGTTCTGATCAAGAACTACAAATATAATAACAGTAGAATATTTTGTTATCAAGAGATAGCAAGTGAACTAGTGAGTTAGTAAGAGGATTATCTCCAATACAGAAATTGTCAAAAGCCTTGCAATTCTACAAACAAAGCAGATTTTTATGTAGTTGGTAACATGTATCATTGTAGTAATATGTATCGTTTCATTTTCCAAAGAGCTCCATTGCCAAATACTGTTCTTACCTTTAATATATTCCTTCATATACAAACTATACACTCTTTACTTACAAGGTCCAGAAAATCTCAAAACCACAGGGTTTATATCAAGTTGACCCATATCCTAGAATAGGTCCAACTACAGCATACTATAACCTAAACAAATAAAAGACTCTGAAGGTTTCTTTGTTTCAGAAATATCCATATTTCCAATTGCTACAATTTGATTTCATGTAGTATATTTTTTACTTTGCTAATTATCTGTACAATTTTTTACTTTTTTCTAATCATACATTTTACAGTTCTTATTCTTAAAAAGAAGAAATAGATGTCTCTTAACAAGGCCTTAAAGCATTGTCATACTATGAATATGTATTTCTGAGTTAATATTCCTTTGGAAAAAAACTACTCATCTTTCCTCCTATCTCTTCATGTATTAATAATGTCTTATGTAGTCTCCATATTCTCTTTCTTTGCTTCATTTCGCTACTTCTATGTAGCTTGTTCATGATTCACCAGGTCTTTACATCTTATTGACTAGATAAGAACTTATTTGCTATCTTTCTGATACCCACTTAATATCAGTTATCACCAACAAAAACTGTTGGTCAAACTTTACTAGAAACAAAAACGTGTTACATGTCACTACTTTTTTCTGACATTATCAGGATGTCCTTTCCCCTTCACTCCACCATTATATATTTTGAATCCAATAGCAGAAACTATTTTTGTTACAGTTATTGATGTGAGCCTCTTTGGAAAATATTATTTGTCTATAAAAGGGGATAAAAGTACAAATAAATAACAGATCTCTGTCCTCATCTCTGTTTGCTGTAATTGCTTTTCCATATTAAAACAGGTGGATTCAATTATTAGGGCTGCAGTTTTATTCAAAATTAGGTGGGAATATTCCCATTGAATGTAGCAGAACATGTTCATGATTATGCCGCTAGACCTGTAGTAATTTTTTGAAGCGTGCAAGAATTAGTATCCACTGTAGTTTGAGGAAATTCTGATTGCTTACAGTATCTGATTATGCACATTAAATGATATGTGGGATAAAAATAGAACTGAGTGTGTAATTCAGTGCCATTTTGCGTTGCTGCTTCTGTAGGTACGCTTCATGTAGGGGATGAAATTCGGGAAATAAATGGAATTAGCGTGGCAAATCAGACAGTGGAACAGCTGCAGAAAATGCTTGTAAGCATGCAAAAGATTTTTTATCTGATTCATTTCACTTTTAATATAAGAGTTAAAGTCAACCTCTGAAACACTGCAATCCAAAATACGGCTCAGAGTAGAGGTATGCATATCCTCTAGCGTTGATTAATAATGCTTGAATCCTGTTTTTTTCAGGATGCTTGTTTCTCTACAAACCTTTCTCAAATAGTAAAGCACTTTATAGCTTTGGTCTTCTTCTTCACTTCTGTTTTGTTTGTGTATTCAAATAGAAAAAGATGGACCATTGTACGAAGATAGTTTGTATTATACTTCCACCATGCTTGGGTTAAAAATTAAGAACTCCTTAAGAACATTTTTAAAAGATTCTATTTTATTCCCTCTCTGAAAAATAATATCAGCAATATGAACCTGATGTTGGCAGTACTTATACTAAATAAATACTGCCAACAACTGACAAACCAGTATTCTGGAGGTGGATGACTCATTGGGAGGAATCTGTCACTAGTTTGTAGTTTTGAACATTGTCCCATTTTGGCTGTTCTCACCAACAGGATCAACAACAAAAACCTTAATATTTCCTTTGAACCCATTGAACAATAAGCCAGGATTTTCCCCAAAAGAGAGCTAATGTTTAGTACATTCTTGTTCCATCGTCAGCCAGAAAAATCACAAAAATAATACCAAGAGAATATTAGCCCAAATTAAAGTCTAAGGCAAGGAAATTGTGGAGAAGGGGGGGATATAAATAGTAAATAAATATCATCTCTGTAGCACACAAACCAACTAAAGCCCTCCAAAACATCTTAAGCAAACCAAAGGACCAGTAGCCCAAGAAGAAAAAACAAGAGTCATCTACAACATACAGTGTAAGGACTGTAGCAACCACTATGAGGATAGACAGGCAGAAGGCTAGCAGAGCTCATCCATGAACACCAACTAGCAGTCAGAAGACACAATGAAAACTCCTTAATCTCACAAGACATGGACAGACTTAACCATAGTTTCAACTGGGATGTCAGCATCTTAGACCAAGCTCAATCCAAAAACATGAGGGAATTCCTGGAAGTTTGGTATTCAGACAAGGCAGCCATCAACAGGCACATAAACAATATCTAGACACTATTCAAAAGAGACAATAAAAAGGAAAACAAAAGGCCAGAACATCTCCTCACCAGTAATCATCACCCAGATAAGCAGAGATTAACAC